GGGAGGGGGAAGTGAGAAGAGGGAGCATGAGGGTTTGTTTTTGATCGGTCTGTGAATTCACAGGAGAGAGATAGTGACTTTGAGAGGGGAAATAAGGAGAGAAGAGGGAGAGAGGGTAACTGCTAAGAAGTAAGGCGTCTATAAATAAGCAAGGGAGAGATACGACAAATAGAGAGAGGGAGAGAACAGGGAGAGAGGGAGAAAGGGAGACTAGTTAACGGCTGATAAGCAATTAGAGCTGATGATGAATAGGCATTAACTCTGATGGATAAGGATAACATAGATTCAATGTTAGAGGATAAAGTTGAAAAAAAATGTTTTTCACATACGATGCCTTTTAAAAGTAGTATAGATAGTAGAGTTGTCTCTCTAACTGATTGAATTATTAGTATCTTTTAGTTGCTCTAGCAAATAATTTAGAGGAGATAGTGGAGGATGGTAATTATTATGTTATCAATAGCACTTATAGATTATCAAGGATGTGTAGAATTGTCTTTATATATTTTCTCAAGGGTAATAAGGGAAATAAAAAGTTTTTCATACTTTTTTACATTTTAAAATAGTATAGATATAGATATGGATAGATATATCCATCAATGCTATTATATTTTTCACTTTAATACAAAAAAAGACTTCCTAAGTAGTCGCTTAAATGTCTTATTATTGCTTTACAATTTTTTAATTATTGCTCTACACTGTTCATTTGGTGAATTAGAAGGTACATAAGTTACTTCAAGGGGAAAAGAAGGAAATTAACGCAATTGAATATAATTGTGGGTTTTTGCCTTTTCCTTTTCCTTTTCCTTTTCCTTTTTATCTTGTGAGTGAAATCATATTAACAGGTCCATTACTTAATGGTTGTCGATTGTTGGCTGTATCAGTGAAAACCTTAAAACTATCATAAGAGTCAAGTCAATGTAAATTATTTCTATATAACCTTTTGTTTCATGTGACCCATGAAGACATGGGAAAATTGGTCTTAGTCTCTTAACAAACTCAACAGTAGCCTGGGTTTGCCTCAGCAACATATAATCCAACTAAAAATTGAGCGCTCGTGTGATCAAATATTGTCAGTCCTAGTAATTTATCTCGGTAGTTAAATGATGCACGTGGAACAAGACATCGCATGTTACAAAAAAGTTAAAAGTTCATGAGATTGTTATTATTTACATAGACATTCTAATTGCGGGTTCAATGTTTGTTTATTATCATCAAATCATTTTCTCGTCATTTATAATCTTGTATTTGTGGTCGGGTAGGTTGGTTGCTCATGGGAGTGATCAAATCAAAAAAAAAAAAAAAAAAGAAAGAAAGAAAGAAAGAAATTTATCTAAAATCATACCAATCAAAATGTATAGAAAATTGGAAACATTGTGCACCTTGGTCACCATTCTACTTGACCAGATTTATTAATGGAAATTTACAAAAGCAAACCTTATTTTCTCAGTTTGCAGAGAATTTTTTCTTTTTTCTTTTTTTTTTTGTTAAATATAAATTAAAATTAAAGAAAAAAAGAGAATACAAGAGATATAATTGAACACCAAGACATTCTAATTCTCAACCTAGTCTATAAAATAGTCTAATCTGGCCCATCACGTACATCTTCTCAAGACAAACTTGGAAGAAAACTTTAGGCACCATCCAGCTGCAAAATGTTAGACAAACTTGACCAATCTTTTACTAACTCGTTAAACTTGCGCCCTATTTTCGGATAAATTAATCATAATATTCAATCGATAGAGCAGGCAAGCAAACCTATAATACCGTAGTGGTAGTCATTGCAGCTGATAGATGGAACTCAGGTTCCTATTGTCTAACCCAAGAAACCATGTACCTCCGTTACGTATCCTTGGGCGAATTCATTAATCAGTTTGATCCCATTAATCGAGGGGTATTGGAAGAGGGAGAGGTCCGTGGTTAAAATATTAAGGTCAAGACTCAAAATAATGGGATCTCTTTTAGGATCCTGTGTATAACCCTCATTAGTAGAGATTTCCTTTATCAGGACTCTGTCAATAAAGCTCAATAGGCTCAAGTTGGTCCATTTAGTGGGGGCATACAGATTTGGAATTTTGATTTCACAATCAACAACTAAATCTTACCTTGCCTGAATTTATGGGCATACAGACCGCAAAAAGCCTTTTTTCCTCAAGTTAGAAGATATCTAAGCCTCTTCGAACACACGCCTAATCCCCCCCGAACACATATTTCTGTCTCATCTGCATTCGCACAATTGCCGGGATACATCATGGGGGAGGACCCAAATTGAGGCCCGAACTCAGGACCATGAGCAAACCAATTCTCGGCTTCTACAAACTCCCAAGAAGAGTGCATCCATTTGTAGCTTGCACTGAGATGATGATCTTGCCAAATTAGCAAAGGATGTTACACAGCAGATTCAAATCTCCACTGAGTCTACAAGTGAATTACCAGCATCAGTTTTAGTTTTCCCAGAAAAAAAAAAAAAAAGCTCTAAATAAGTTGCTTTATTTCTTGAATTACTGCTTTTTTGTTATAGTTTGGAGAGAGGTAAGGTGGCTTTTCAACGTAGAACACTGAATCAGGAATTAAATTTACTTTATTTTTCATATATATATATTTCAGGGGCTGCCACTAAGAAGGATGAAGAAGCCTACTTAGCATTTGTCATAGAAGGTAGGTTAGGTTTTCATACAGCTCAGGGGCTGCCACTACGAAGAATGAAGAAGCCTTGGCATTTGTTATAGAAGGTAGGTTAGGTTGTTTTGATATTACAAATTTCTGGTTTCTTCTGCTCATGCAGAGAGAGAAGAGAGGTTCGAAAGAGGTGATTTCAATGATTTTGACTCTTGGCTGAGAAATTAGGAGGAAGCCGAATTACAAGAAGCATAATTTGTTGGTGAACGTTTCCTCTAAATGAGGCAGCAGAAAGGTAACTCGATGACCCTAGCTTCCAACCATTTCTTAAAAATGACCCTAGCGTTCTTGTGTGTGCATGGAAACATTGGCGGTGGTAGCCTTTTTTTGGGTTTTGATCCATTAGAGTCGCAAAGAAATTTGCTGCCTATTGGTAGTGGAATGCAAACTAACCAGCTCAGGCCCTCCACGATGAGCTCAACCTTTTCGAGTGGATGAGGATCGGTCTTTTCTTTCTTTAGTCCTACTCGTCTTATGGCATTAGCCTTTGCGGATTAAGGAACCCACGGGACAAAAAAGGAACGACCAGTAACAAAATGAATGAAAGAGTTCTGACAATTAATATTCCACTATATTCTGGAAAAACAAGATACCACTAAGCTGGTAAAACATGAAACAGATCATGAAAGCATCCAGTGACCAAAGACAGTCATGAACAGACACACACAGCATCATAACAATTTCCATGAAAAAAAAGAAGATAATAAGTAGAAAAAAAGGTGGGTCTATTACCATCTGCTACAAAAAGAGATCACTGTGATGACGAGTACCGTTTACAAAGATCGAGAGGAGAAACAAAGAGGGAAAGAGAAATAGACAGAGGAGAAAGGGGATATCATAAATAATTGGATGAAAATATTTGATAAATAAAAGAAAGTGAAATAAATAATATATGTTATCATTATATTGAATATTCTCAAGTTGTGATGTGAAAAAGTGAGTTCTCTGATATAGAAAGGATATTATTTAGAACGGCATAAACGAGGGTCAAAATTTAAATATGGACGTCAATTTTAGATTTTGAAATTTTAGATTTTGATATTTTTTGGACGAGATTGATAGGCGAATTCAATGTAAGGGTGTCAATTTTAGAAACTAAAAATTATGAGGGGCAAACATATTTCAAGAATTAATATGGTACGTTGGATTAAAACAATCTAAAATGTCAAATAACACGAGACAGTTTGGAATAACGTTGTCCGTTGGATAATGTCTTTTTTTATCACGAAACGATTTGAACTGTTCTTTGTTTTTAAAATTTAAAATCGTTATATTTTATTATATAGATATATTTTTTGATATATACATATATTATGTATACATTAATTTTATATAAAAATATAATAATAAAATATGTATTTATATATATTTTAAAAATAAATTCAAAAATAAAAAATTTAAATTAAAAAAAATATTTCTCCGTTTTCGCTAGAGGTAAAAAATTTTTACTCAACACGACTAAAATTTGACACGAATTTTATGACACGAACTTGATTATAATTCGACATGAACTTGAAAATTACCTGACACGCGAACAAAAAATATAAACAGCTCATATTCAATTCAACTCGTCAAACTCAAAATTGACACCATCAACCTATTTATTTAAAAATAAACTCATTTGTATGATAACACAGAACTAATATATTTAATTAGTATTATAAACATAAATTATTAAATATTTATAACTATTTATGAAGCACTAACATAACTATTATATAAAAAAAATATTTTTACTTCTTAATATTATTATATTTATTTAAGTTAATTTTTAGTTTGTAAAAAAATATGAACATAAATTCAATTAAGTGAAAATAAAATATTAACGTTAAATTTTTTATTCAAAGATTATATGAATCAATACGAATACACACACAAACACGATACGAAAATAAACAGGTCAACTCAACACGACATAATTAGTTAAATGAGTTAAGTTAAATTTGATTAATATTCAACACAAACTCGTAATAATTCAACACGAACCTGACACAACACGATTAAATTGTCATCTATAATCTTAAGCAACACAAAAAAAAAAATATTAATCATTTTTATTTTCTATCTATCCTACCAAATACAAAGAAAAAAAAATATCATTCTTATTTTTCTTCCTTGAAGGATAAAAAGTGTATCGCTCATACTTTCTATCCTCCTTACAAACGGAACCTTAGTGGTTGAACATTTCAAAAACTGTGTCCTATCCTCGCCTTAGACCCTATCCTCACCTTAGACGCTTTTAAATAAAAAAAAACCATAGAGAGAAAGCAATCACACTGCCCATGCACAAAAATAAGAATGCAGCGCAAATTTTCAACATTATTCGCCACAACAAAATTTTATTCCTTTTCTCATCTAAAACTGAAGTGCAGAGCATTCTTCTCTGATGAAATTATGGTGAGGTTGCAAGTTAAATTACAGAAATTGGCGACTGATAGTATACCAAATTTGTAAATTTTATGGCAGGGGGAAGAAAAAACCAAAAACTAACACATGCTGTACATTGACTAATCACTCAAAGGCACCCTAGCACAGTGATTGTCAAAAATGGGATGAGTCCAGAGCATCATTTGCACAAACCTAGAATTATAACTTTGATCACTTCATCAGTCCTGGAAGTATCATAATGATTTTTCAAGTAATCAAGAGCCAGGAAAGCTTGCATCCAACTTACCAGTAAGGTAGTAAGTACCAAGTTGGTGCAGTGATATTAGATGATACGCATGTGGTACTTCAAACATATGAACGTAAGGTGCAGAACAAGTGCCCCAGGCATCTAACGTAGATGTAAATACTTCCTGTATTATGTGCTAGACCCAAAAGAAAATTTATTGACCAGGAGCATTCTTGCCTGAAATGTGAAGGAAGAGTTTTAGACACATGGTTATTACACCTGGAATGATAAGAGCAAATTCAAATTAAGAAGCAAAAAAAACCAATATTCAATAGTTTCCAGCCAAGACAGACACTCATGCAAATTCCCAGCTGAGGGAGAAAGGTGCAGCAGGAACCAAGTATCTCAATTTATTTTGTACCTAGAAATCAAATTTGAAGCACCAAAAATAATAATCCTTAATACAGGTTCATCTGCCATCTTCTTCCAGTTGTAACAAGGGCCACACAAAACTCGAAAGCCCCATACCTTCAGAATCCGAAGGAACGTCATTGAACCAAGAAGCGAAAGCATACCCCCCCCCCCCCCTTCTTTCTTCTTTGTCCTCTCTAACACCAAGACAAACTAAATCGATACCCATGAATTTAGGCAAAGGGAAACAAAAAACATGGAGAACCCCCCTTCCCTGATTTTTCATATTTGGTAAAGACATGACCATTTTACATTTATTTGACTAGATTTACAAGGATAAAAAATCACCGACAATTCAAATGTGAAATTTTAAGTTTACATTTTGCTAATGCTAGGACATAGAGGGCGTCTATAGTATAGTACAATACCCAAACCTTAGGAGATTGCCACACCATTCCAGAATCCTCAGGTGGTGTCCGTGTTGTTTTTGTCAAAACTGGTTGTGTGCCAAGTATTTATCAAACAAAATATGTAATATCATACCCATTGAACCAAGAAAATATCACAACCAAACAAGAGGCAGCAGTTCTACAAATATTAATGGGAGCCAAACTGCAGTAGCACGACTAATTTCCACGACAGTAACGATACCCACCAGAAATTAAACTTGATAATCTCAACCATTGAATATATAGTGGGTCATAATAAATGCTGGGACCCACAATGAAATCAATGGTTGAAATTATCAAGTCTAGTTTTTTAAGTCCATTTTAAGTCCATGTAGCATTGCTCAAGGTTAAATATGGTCAAAAATAAAGGTTCATCGCCAATTTAAAGACCGAAGAAATCCAGATAAAAGCAATATAGAAATACACATTAGTAAAATAAACATACCGTTAAAGCTGGCACCCAGTCCTTGTTTCTTTTGAGATTCAACCCTTTCCAAGTGAGGAGAAATCAAAGCATCCAATTTTACCAACCAGAGTGCAATCGCAGATGATGTCTGTGGCGTGGTCAGAAAACTTGCAATGATTTCTTCCAAGACAGAATTAGAATCTAGAGCAATGTTGCATTGATATAACCAATCCTCATTGATGGCACTGACAAAGTCAGCGAGAACCTAAAACATGCAAAAACATAAGTGATTTGTTGAGAGAAAACATAAAGTATCATACCAATAAAATCTATTTTACAGGATAACAACCCTGATGACCAGTTCCAACGATGCTAATTACATGAATAAAAAGTAGATGGTGCTTTCACAAAATCAATCCAACAGAGGCAAGGCAATGGAAAAAAAAACATGAGAATTAGTACCTGTAAAAACTCCACCAGAGTTGATGTCCGTCTTAATCGTTTCACCCATAGGTTATGAGCATACTTTGTCCAAGTACCCACCAAGGCATCTTCAGGCATAACTGACTGCACACAAAAAAGTATTTAGAAGAGAACATTAATCCGAAGTTATTGTTTATTTACAGGCAACGATAACATCATTTCATCACTGTCTTTATTGTTATGTAACAGAAGTTGTGTTCCACCTTTTCATACTTCGTATTACTAGACTAGAAAGGTATTGCTCCTTACCACGTCTTTGTGACACATGAAAAAAATCATCTTAGCATCCAAAAAACAAGGGAAAGATGGGGAAAATTAAAGAGAGAAAAGGGTGGAGGGGATGGAGGGAAGGTTGCAACCTGTTAGAACATTCTTTTTTGTAGAAAGTGAATACATTTTAATTTCTGTACTTTCTCCTCCTACCAGGAATCTGTCTTCACATCTTCATTTTAGCAAAAACTTCAACTGTTTCCATATATAAGCATCCTATTAAACAACCATCAGTTATCATCCAAGTACTTCACAGCATCCTGCTAATTAGCAGCCTATCGGCAAACAAGCTTGTTCTTGGATACTATCGAGGCAATCAATTTAACTATTCCTTTTTTTGTGTATTAAACGCTACATCATATTGTCACAAGGCATTATCACATGCTTAACTGAACCTTAGGATATAGTTCATTATTCAATTTCGACATGTTCTAAGAGTAATAGATTTTGACAATAAGAACTAGTTTTTCAGTAAAACAATCCACCACATACAAGGAAAATATTCTACATATATAGTTATCTTCGCGCACCCACTGCCATGCAACATAATGAGTTTCACAGACTCCCTGGAAAACCTAATAAATCCTTTTCTCAAATAATCTACCACCAAAGATCAGCCCGGAGGCAGCCATATAGCAGGTAGCTATGCAGATCTCCCACAGACTGATACTGCAATAGCACAGACAAGAAATGCCAAAACAAAGCCACATCAATTCTCTAGTGAGTCTGATTTCCAGTGTGAGCGTCAATATCAAAAGTTTGAATCTTTTCGAACACGACCCAAAACAAAATGCCATGTTCAATGCATAGACCTGTATGCATTAAACACACAGCCCATGTGCTGCACGTACATGTGCATGTCCAGGTATGGTATGTAAGCACAGCAGTGAATATAAAGAAACATCAGCATGAAAGCGCACCTCAATTGCATAAATGGCAGCCTTGAGTGATTGCAATTGTGATGATAGGACTTTGTGCTTGGGGAACTTATCAGTTTCTGTACTTTCCTGACATGCGGCTATATGGATGGCATATCTTTCTTCTAAATCAAAATCAAGCTCAAATGTGGTATGGCAAATTCTACAATGCTTCTCATCTCTCCAATACAGATCATGACAACGTTCACATCTAGTAATTGAATCACGATACGATCTTTTGCTATGTTTAACAACGTTAAGGTTATAATAAAAAGAGTTCCATATCCACGCATCAAATGCTTGGAGACGACACCATTTCTCTTTTTGCTGTTCTTTTTTTACAGGTTCAGAAACCATGGCAGCAGCAGAACCTGGAATATCATTTTGTATCTCAGTCAGGTATAGGTTGTTATCTACATCAGACAAAGCTGATGAAGTGTCTTCTTTAGACATATTCAGTTCAGATTGGGTTAATAGCCTAATTCCAGTATAATTCAGCATACTGGACATTGCTTGGCAAAGAGATGCTTCTTTTTTTTCCAGAGATGCTAAAAGGAAAGCCTCTCGTGTACCCCTACGATCCAGAGTTGATAACAAGGTGCACATAGCCTGCAATCAAATAAAGCACACATACCCAGAGCTATAATGTTACATTCACAGCAAAAAAGGATAATCACATTGAGCCAGACTAATGACGCAGAGTGAGAGAAGGTTACCTCTTCAGTATCAATCACCTCCCAGTGACCATCTTCAGAAGATTCAAAATAAATCCTCTTGTGGCCGGGATCATTTGCATCACAAGGGCCCAAGAAAAGCCAGTATCTATTGTACCTACGATCAGAACCCAAAAAGATAGATTGCATAGGATGTAAATAGTCTGCAACTTCTATTTCACTTGCATCCTTTCTTTTGCTAAAGGATTTCTTCTTCCCGTAGATATTTAAGCCAGATGCTAAAGAATCAACAGGATGATTCACTAATGTGGCATTTACTTCTTTATTTCCAAGCATATGTCCCATGTAAACTCCAAATTGTCTAGGCTGCATTGCTGTCGATCTCTTTATTTTTGCTCCAGAATCATAATGATTGGTGTCGGGGACACATTCTTGAGTGGATGTTATTGGATCCTGTAAGCAAATTCGCTGCACTGGTCAAAGTGTGCCCCACATTGCAAATCAGGACTCAGGAGTATTCTGATTTGAAACATATTTTGACCCTGTTTCAAACCTATTTAGAGCCTATCATCACAAGATATAATTTATAGCCACAGAGGAATAACCTATTTTGCATAAAATGAAAAACTCCAATTACTACTACAACATGAAAGCAGGGAAAAAAAACTCTGCAAAAACTTAGTCCTATGTCGATGAAGAGGAATATAGGACAACAAAGGGATCAAGAACAAGATATAAATCTCCATGATGCAATATTTTCTCCCAAACTATACTCCAATTCATTAGCCTATTCATGACATCTTTAGTATATTGTTCCAAAAAATATCTCAACGACCACCAGCCCTTTCCGTTAATCTAAATCCCGATGATATTGATTCTAAAAAGCAACAAGCACATATTTATGTTGGCTATAATTTCAGTTTTTGTATATTTGTGATAGATAGGAAACAAAGATAGTGCAAACTAGTTTTTAGGAATAATTTTTCATGCATGTATTTTATAATTTCAACATACATATAGGTTGCAAAATACATCCACCTTTCACTTCCCTAGAATATTAACCACATAACAAGACGCAAGACTCAACCATTTACAATCTCAAGTCAACTAGATACACTTAACAACTAAATATTATCTAGTATGTTATTTTTAACACTCCCCCTTAATGTTTTGTTGTTGAATTCCTAATATATCTCTTAGAAACTCAAACTTATCTTTAGAAAGTGCTTTGGTAAAAATATCCCCCATTTGATCTTCGGTCTTTACATTATTTGACTCGAATCTCATCCTCTTCCATAACTTCTCGAATCAGGTGATGCTTGATTGTAATGTGCTTAGTTCGATTATGATAGACAAGATTCTTTGTCATGGTGATAGCTGATTATTATTACACAAGATTGGAATTACTTCACCTTACTTTTCACCAATATCTTCCAAAATTTTTCTCAACCAAATTGTTTGAGAAATAGCCAATGATGTTGAAATATATTCAACTTCAGCTGATGATTATGCCACATTTGGTTGCTTCTTTTGACACCCATAAAAATACACTAGAACTAAGTGAAAAAGCATAATCCGAAGTGCTCCTCATATCGGAATGTTTTCAGCCCAATCACTATTACAAAATCCAAGTAACTTGGTATCAACTTTTCTTTCAAAAATAATCTCAAAATCAAGTTTCCATGAATATATCTTAAACATTTTTTCGCTGCTCCATAATGAATTTGTCTTGGTTTGTGCATGAATCCAGATAACAAACTTGTTGCATAAATGATACCCGGCCTTGGATTTGTCAAATACAAAAGACTTCTAACCAAGCTTCTATAAAAAAATGCTTCAACTTTTTTAGCTTTATCATCTTTTAACAACTTTTCATTCACAACCAAAGGAGTAGCCACAATTTGCAATTTCTCAGTCTAAATTTCTCAACAAGAGTTTTTGCATACTTCCTGTGGCAAATAAAGACTTCATCTTCTTGTTGATAAATTTCAATGCCCAAGAAATAATATAAAAATCCCAAATCACTCATTTCATATATTTTCATCATCTCACTTTTAAAATCTTCAATCATTGTTTGATCATTTCTGGCAAAAAACAAGTATCAACATAAAGAGACACAATGAGAATACCGGTATTACCTTGTGTTTCGATGTACAAGGTTGACTCAATTTTGTTTCTTTGAAATCTCTTGGCATTAAAGTAAGAATCAATCTCACTATACCACACTCAATGTGCTTGTTTTAGCCCGTTCAAAGCCTTTTTATCTTGTACACCTTTCCTTGTTCACCGTTGACCGTAAAAAAGCTTGTTCTACATAAATTTCTTCTTTCAACACACCGTTCAAGAACACTGATTTTACATCTAATTGATGAAAATATCAGCCTTTTTGTGAAGCGAGAGCAATTAGAAGTCTTATTGTATCAAGTCGAACAACTAAAGCAAAAGTCTCTTAGAAATCGACATTGGGTTGTTGTGAATACCCCTTTAATCCAAGCCTTACTTTATTTTTCTGAATTGAACCATACGGATTATGCTTTGTTTTGTAAATCTACTTCACCTCAATGACTTCTTTATTCTTTGGCTTTTCCAACAACTCTCAATTGCTATTTTTTTCCATCACATGAATTTTATCTTTCATTATTTTTTTCCAAACATCTTCTTTAATTGCTTCTTCAAAACTTTCTAGTTCAATCACACAAAAATGCATCTAACATACACATCACTAAGACTCCTCATTTTTCTTAAAGTTGAACTTAGAGATGAAGTACTTGAACTTGAGGAAATAGAAGGAGATGAAGGAAAATTGGGTGTTAGAAATATTCATTTGTAACAACCAATTGATTTTGAACATTCTTTTAGTTCCAATTCCCATAATCCTTCTCATTAAATAGAACATCTGTACAAGTAATCACTTTATTTCTCTCCAAGCTGAAGAGCCTATAACCTTTGGATTTTGAGCTATAACCCAAAAAAATATAATTTTCACTAGTTTCATCAAACTTGTACCTCATTTCTTTAAGAACATGTGCAAAACAAATACACCCAAAAACCTTAAAGTGATTCACTGACAACTTCCTTTCACACCATGCCCCAATTGAAGTTTAGCTTTCCAAAACCTTTGTTAGATATCTATTCATCAAATAAACTTTCGTGTATATTGTTTCAGCCCAAAATGATTAGATAAACCCTTCTCGTAAACCATCGATTTTGTGATCTCAACAATGGTTCTATTCTTTCTTTCATGGTTCTATTATTTCTTTCGGCCACTCCATTTTGTTTCGGAGTATACTCAACTGTCAATTGTCTTTCCATACTAATATCTTCACAAATTTATTAAATTCATTAGAGTTGTACTCACCACCTCTATCACTTCTCAACACATTAATGTAGTATCCACTTTGCCTTTCAACAAATTTTTAAAATTTCTTGAATACTTAAAAAACTTCTAATTTTTCTCTCATAAAATAAACTCAAGTCATCCTTGAAAAATTATCAACAAAATTTATGAAGTATTTATTATCTCCATGAGAAAGTGTTCTTAATGGTCCCTATACATCGGTGTAAACAAGCTCTAATAGTAATTTGGCTCTCTAATATTATTTTTTTTGAGAAAGAATCTCGATGATGCTTCCAACTTCACATTCTTCACAAACTTCTTTTAATTCTTGTATAGATGACAATCCATAAACCATGTTTTTTTGTTGTAGGTTCTTCAAGCTTTGAAAAGCTCAAGTGCCCAAGTCTTTTATGCCAAAGCCAAGACTCATCAATAAATTTCATCTTCAAAGAAGCATTGTTTGAATATCGAAAAATGCGAGAAAAATCTCTATTTCTCTCCATCTCAATTTTTGTTATAACTTGTCTTTTCTCTCCACAATCATAGATCTTGCAAGAATTGTCTTCAAACACCACGGAGTACCATGCTCTCCAAGTTGACAAACACTTAATAAATTTTTGTTCCAAGTCCGGTACTAAAAAGACATCTTTGATATATCTTGTTCGTTTCTTTGTTTATTGGCAATAGTTCCCTTGCCTTTTGCTTGAATCATGACACCATTCTCATCCTAACTTGAGAATTAGAAGTAACGTTCATGTTCACAAAAATATTACTATCACCAGTCATGTGGTTATTACAACCATTATCAAGAAACCACACATCGCTCATTTGCTCGGACATTGCTTGAGAAGCATAGAACATGTTTCCACTACTTTCTTACTCTTCAAAAAAATTAGCTTGTTGATTATTTTTGAACCGACAATCTTTTTGCAAATGACCAAACTTTTTGCAATTAAAACATTGAAATTTTTCACGAAACCAACAATCTTTATCAACATGACTTGATCTTTTGCAAATTCCACATTTTTGTTGAGTAAATTCTTCATTTGATCCTCTTTCAAAATTTTCTTTACCTCTTCCTCTAGAATTTCTTACTATTTCTCTTCTTTTTCCAAATCTTCCTCTTCTAAAAGATTCACTTTTATGTTAATTGGAAGTAGACAATTCATAACTTTTGGAGTCAACATTAAACTTGGATTGAAAAGCACTCTCAACAGATTTTTTGGCATGCCAACTCAACCTTTGCTCAAATACTTTAATAGAACCCAATAAATCTTGAACATCCAAAGAAGAAATATTTTTGATTTCTTCGATGAAGGAAACAATAGAATCATATGAAGGGGTTTAGTTCCATTATGACTCTCATCAGAGTGTATGGAAAAATGGGACTTTCAATGGACTTTAGCTGCGACTAGAGCCTTTCAAAAAATTAAGCACAAGATGACTGAGGCACCAGTCTTACAACACCCAAACTTTTCAAAAATGTTTAAGATTGCCTATGATACATCTGGTATAGAGAAAAGTGGAGTTTTGAGTCAAGATGGTCACCCTTTTGCTTACTTCAGCGAAAAACTCAATGAAACTAAACAGAGATACTCTACCTATGATAAAGAGTTCTACGTTGTTGTGCAAGCTCTCCGCTATTAGAGATATTATCTATTGCCATATGAGTTTGTGTTATATTCTGATCATCAAACATTGAAGTACACCTTCATTCTCAAAGAATGTTGAATATTAGGCACGTTAAGTGGGTTGGGTTCCTTCACGAGTATACTTTTGTTCTTCACCACCGAGCGGGCATAGAAAACAAGCCTGCGGACACTCTTAGCCGTGTAGTTGCTGTTTTAAAAAAAACGAGTGTCCATGTGATCAAATTTAATAGGATTAGAGATTAGTATGCCTCTTATGATGACTTTGGTATCATTTTTCATGATGTTCAGGCTAAGAACCGTCATGAGTGCATTGACTTCCTCCTTAGAGATAATTACTTGTTTAGAAGGTCGCGACTATGTACTCTCCGTACTTCACTCGAGGATTTTCTAATTTGAGAATTATATACATGAGGTCTAACAGGACACTTTGGTAGGGATAAGATATTTGCACTTGTTGAGAATAGGTTTTATTGGCCCACTTTGAGGCGTGACATTATTAGGATGGTGTCAGTGTCGCACTTGTCAATTAGCTAGGGCTAGTAAACAAAACACAGGGTTTTACACGTCATTACCAATTCCACACACACAATGGAGAGACCTTAGTATGAATTTTGTCGTAGGATTGCTTAAAACAAAACGTAGTCATGATTGCATTCTGTGTCGACTAGTAAATCTCTTTTTGAAATTGTTTATGGCTATTCCCCTAGACAGCCTATTGACTTACTACTTTTACCTCCTAATTCCCACCTTTCAAACTCCACCGAAGCTTTTGCCTAGCATATTCGTGAATTGTATATTGACATAAGACAAAAAATTATATTAAGTAATGAGAATTATAAATTGGCTGTCAATGTTCATCATAGGAATAAAGAATTAACTATGGGAGATTATGTCATGGTTCATGTGCGTCGTGAACGTTATCCTAAAAATTCCTTAAAAAAAATACATACTCGAGCCACCGACCGTTTTTGTATTCTTAGTAAGCTTGGACCTAATACATATCACCTTGACTTATCTTCGAATATAAGTATTAGTCATATTTTCAAGTGGATGACTTATTTCCTTATCATAATACTTTTGAACCTCCCATGTTGCCAACAGGTGCTCCTACAGATGGAGTTGCTTCGTCGTCAACATAAACTATAGTTCTGGTTCTTCCACCCTTTCCACCACAACTACATGACCAGCAAATGTACTTGAGGATCAGATTGTTAGCTCATCGGATGGAAAGTATCTTCGTTATCTTGTTTGGTGGAGAAACCGTCTTGAGACTGATGCTTCATGGATTATTGAGGGAGAGTTTTGTCGACTTTATCCTGATCTTCTAGAGCATTATAACCACCGTATCACTCCGAAAGCGAGTTATTTTCAGTCGAGGAAAAATGATAGGAATCAGATTGTATTTTATTATAGTAGGCATAGACGTAGGAATTAGAAGTTATTTGTTATTTTACTTCTTGGGACTTAGTTGTTTGCTTTAGGGTTTGTAGTCCCCATATATATATATATATATATATATATATATAGGGGATATGGTATTTATTTTTGGTAAACTTTGATTATTATTGAATATTTATATTACTTCTTCCCCAAGTTTTTTTTGTCTCATCCCCTTCTTCTTCTCTTCTCTTCTCATCCCTAATTTTTTCCCTTCCTAATCTACATTACAATGTCTCACCAGTTGAAACTCATACTCCACAAAAGCCCAAATTTTCATGATGAAGTTTGGGGTGTTATGATAGATTAGCAAAATTTAGATGGATAATTCGACACCAGAAACTATGATTGAATGCAAGTGAAGGAAAAATTATTATATTGTAACAAGTACTTCAATCTTGTCACCTCATGATACAAGACAACACTCTAATTTCCAAAGTTGCTACCAATTCAAGGTTTGTAAACATAAGAATGGAGTACGATGTTTAGTAGAAAAAATGGATACAAAGTAGAATAATGCATGAAATGAAAATAGAAAAACCATCAATCATTTCCATCAATTAAGCACTTCCAATTCCCTATTAATGGACACATCAAACTTTCCTAAGCAATCAAATTGTATAAAAACAAGACAAGATATAGGACTCATTTTCTTTTTTTCTTTTTCCTTTCGTTTTTTTTTTATGGTCAGGGGAATTTGATCTTACGATGGTGGAGTATAGAATAAGCCTCCTGCAGTCCACCCGAAGCCGCCCAAGCTAGGGTCTAGGTGGTTATGTAGGACTCTTTTCTTCTTTAGTTATTCAATAGGAAACAATAATATCATCAATCTCAAAAAGGTAAAAAAAAATTAAAAAATCCAATCAAAGGTAGACAAGTTACAAAAAAAACTCATTTCTGAAAACACAAATTTACTACAAATATAATCTAATGATCTACCAGGCCAAGCAAGCAACGGTTAAACTCAATGCCAAAATTTAAGAAAATAGAAAACGATGAAAAGTAAAGAATCAGAACAATGAACATTCCTTTAAGACAAACAATTAGGAGTACATAAGTTTATCCATATAATACTACCACTGCTTGTAAATCAAATGACCAAAAAAGCTCTTTCATGTAATGCCTTGATTAATTCCCATGAGCAAGACTTAGAAGTAATCACCAAACTCCCACATTAACATGACAAGCATAATTATCAAAACTAGACCGAACATCAAACTGGTAGAGGGACCATCGGGTTATTGGTTCACTAGTTCAACTAGTCGGACTGGTCGTATAATAAAAAATAAAAAATATATAATATATAATAATTTAACTATAAAATATGTTCACAATGCATATAATTTGCCATAAAATTAACATTATAAGTTCCATTTATTTCAATTTTAAATTTTGCTTTTAGTCTTGTAATTTCATCCATCTATTGATTTCACACCCACCCAAGATGAACAGCTAGGATTATTTTTCAACTTAACGTAGCTTTCCAAACACAAAAGACAGATCTCTCTCTACCAACTCCACTGCCTTTCTGTCTCTCTCCCTCTGAAACTCCACCGCCTCTCTCTCTCCCTCAAAACTCCACCAAAGACAGATCTCCATCTTCTCTCCCTCCATCTGTCTCTCCCCCCTGAAACTATGTCACCTTAACTACTAAGTAGAAAAGGTGGCTTGAACTGCTAAATGGAGGAGCTTCGAGCAAAGTGGTCGTTGAACAAAATTGGCTGGTTTTACATATACCCCACGGTTTGATTCCTTAGATGGTCTAACTAAAGAACCAGACATCTTAGGTCCTAGTTCACGATTCAACAGGTCCAACCGACTAATCCTATCTAGTTCTGATAACACTGCTGAAAAAGGCTTCCTGATTAGCAAGGGATAAAAACACCATTTCCAATGGAATTTCTTCCTTAATTAAGGTAGTGACCATTGTGTCATCTCTTTACCCAATTGAAATCCAAATAATTTCATGAAACAAGGCAAAAGCAAGAATAATTAGGCAGTCAAGAATGCTACTTAGGTTAAATTAGTAATTGAAGTAGCTCTAATATTTAAGAAGCCTAATTCACCAGAAAAGGAATATAAAATAAAGCTTTCAAGATATATACCATACAGCAATGAGACGGTTTACCTCCATTCTGATACTAGACCCAGCACTAAGAAGTTCAAGCAAAGCCACCAAGGCTTCCAGCTTCTCATCGATGCTTAAATCGGAATATTCACCTTCCACGAGTCCGAGCAACCATGCTTCTCCTGGATTGCTTTCATCTATTTCGTTGTAAACGGTCAACATGTTATTTCTACCTTCACGGGAGTTTCTGTGCTCAAGTTTATTTTTAATGGAAGTTCCTGAATCATACTCAGAATCATCAGCGTTGCTGCATCCACTAACGTCCTTAGAATCATCATCAACACTTCCAAAATCTTCAGAATCTGATTGAAAATCCTCAGATTCCTTCTTGACAGAATTTATACGAATACGATATGCAGAAGATGATATCTTTTCAAATAACGTAATGTCACCCGAAAGTGTTGAGCTTATTAGGAGTTCTAACTCATGCGCTTTAGCTGCTAGATTCAATTCAAGAACCTACAAAACAAAGCAAACACCCGCCACCAAAGAAGGTGAAATCAATGATTGACAAAAATTAAAAAGATCCAATGAGGATGAAGATGATGAAAATGATGGAGAGGACAGTGCTGCAGCATAATCATATAATCTTTCTCGTACTGCATTCTACATTATATTCACTTACTGCTGAAGACTGTGCCAACTCAGAAACTTTCAACCCGTTATTTCCTTGCATTAACAAAATACTGAACAATTGACACTTCAAAGTATGAGGGCTTAAGCCATACTTCACCATAAGGTTGACTTCCTATCAAAGGATAAGAAAAACTGAGTGAGAACTAAAGAAACCATTTCATTAGAACATAAAAATAAAGCACATGGAATATTTTTGCAGCCACTCTAATTCCCCCCCACCCCGGCGCTTGGGGAGGGGGGGCCGGTCCCACTATGGGTTTTTTTTAAAAAAACATATTACTTATATATTTTCCAATTAATTTTTAGGTATTTCTAAATGTGCACACCTATTATTTTCTTGTCCTATCAATTACTATAGGCCTATAGTTAAATGATTATGAACTTTTGCACACACTTTGAACATCTTGCAGACATATTTAACTAAGTTTTTGACATGTTTGGCTCATTTTGCTATGAAGATTGTGAAGGCTAGGTTGCATAATGCATAATCAAATGAGTGGTCAATAATGCATCACGTATAACTTAATTGCTTATATAGAGATTTTTTTTTAAACCAATTACAGAATGACAAAAGTGAACCAAAAGTAATATCTAGTCAACACTGAACTTCAGTTGCAATTTTGAATTTTAACAACTGTTCTCCCATCTTAAAAGCATTTAATTAGTTTTCAGCCAGTTCATAGGCCACACTTCACTTTTTACTGCAAGAGGAGGATTCAAATGGTTAAACACTAGGTGTTAACTCAAGTTTCACACCCCCAATAAAAGTAACATTGACGGAAAAATTACTTTCCAAATCTTGACTTTGGATCCAAGACATGGCATTTTGTAAATGTTTATTTAAAGACACAAAATTCATTGTTTTTGCCTTTTAAGTGGCCATAGCCTTATGGAAGCCTCTAATACAAACTTTTTTCCTGCATTGTAGCGGTAATATTCACATTCCAAGAAAAAAATGTAATGCTTTCTGTCCAAAACAATCGAACAAGAGAATCAAAACCAGCAAAAAAATCCTTTGTAATTCTTTGATTAGCTTTCTTTCTGTCCATGTTTCGCATCAAAAATAACAAATTGCAAGCAACAGAATGGCAAGTTATTTAGGAGAATTAAAAGTAAGAATCCTGCAGACCAAATGGCTCAACCTAAACAGAATATATCGAGTCAAAAATCAATGTTTTTTACATGATTAACCATATTTAGAATCTTACTAACATCTTGTAGCAGCTTCCAAAACAGTATAATTTCGTTTTTCCAAAAATGCAGGAAAAAAACAAACTAGATAACAGCATGAACCAAAATGGCAACATTAAGAAATTCCAGTTTGCCCTTTCTCTAACAAGCACACTATGCCTCAGAGTTATTTAGCATGGACGAGAACATGACATGAGACGATGCAGACAACTTGACATGGTAAAATCTTAATAAGAACCAGCAGTCCACCTATATGCATACACATAATTGAATGCTATGTATGTACACATAATTAAGACAATCTGCATTGTGTGAGTGAATTTGTATATTGCTTTTTTAACAGTAACATGATTAGGTATAGTGCTAACTCCTTTCCCCTCCCACCCCAACTGTTTCAACTAAAACAGGTTGTATTTGTGGCAAATGCATTGTAAAAGTATGTACAGGCAGAGTTGAGATCACCAGGAGCATTGCCAAAGACAGGTGAAATCAAAGATGAATATCTAAACCACTCTAATTGTTATTTGTTTTCACATTGTTAGTGAACTGCTTCTTGTTGGATTGCCCATGGATTTAGGCCTTAATGTCCAACCAAAGCAGAATGTCCAACCAAAGCAGGTCAAGTGTTGTCTTTTGATTGTGGAAACGTTTTCTGTACATTTCCAAACTTTCCTGTGCCTATTCTCTATTTTTTAATCAAAGCTCTTGATACATTTTATTTAGACCTTCTTTTTCAACAGACCCGGATATTTTCCTTCCCTACTAGAGATAACCGTTTCCAATGTCTAAGGACCATTGATCAGTATCTGAAATTATGGAAACATTCAACACTGGTCAAGAGGTGACCAGAAATGTCAAGTTCAGTCTCCAACATGGGCTGACTCCACTTTAGAAGTGTTTATGCTTTGCAACAATTGTATGGATGTCGGAGAGTGATAAAGATCTACAGACATAAGAAGGAGAACTCGTTAACATCATAGCATCAAGAAAGCAAGAATGCAGAGTTGTCTGAATGTGGATACCTTGTTGGGAGGTTCCCTAGGTAATGTACCATGCTTTGAACCAAAACCAGCAGCAATCAATACTTGATACAATATTTCTATCCAAGTCAAAGGGTTCAGCGCTTTTTGCCAAAACTTCAGAACAAACTCTTGATGTTCAACCTGCCAAATCAAAACATGAGAAGAAAGGAAAAGGTTCCTTAACAGTCTAGACAGTTTTCACGCCTAAGCAAATTTCTAAATACGTCAAATACATCGAGATCTATGAAAACACAAAACACAAATGAACAACAGAAAGGGTAAAATGTCTCGCATATAATGTATGTTGAAGTTTGATATGCATCATTGGGCTCATTCTCTAATAGCTACCAACAACTTTAAGCTATTAGAGAATGAGCCCAATCACTGGGGTAGTAGCCTAGTTGGCTTCAGTAGAGGGTGAAAGTCCTACCCTCCTCCGGTGGTCATGAGTTTAAACCCGCCTGCATTAGTAGTTCTTGTAAACCAAATACTGCTGGAAGAGCTGAATGTCCAATTTGACGTCGGTGGTGGTGTGGTTAGAACTTAGGAGTGTTAAACTATCCTAAAATTCGATACCAATTCCGATTCTAACTCCGAACCGACTCCAACAGCTGAGTCAAAGTGTAAAATGTCAATGTCCGATCGGAGTCGGAGTTGAAATCGAAGTCCGAGTCCAAGCATGAAATCCTTTCCGAAAACACTCCGACTCCAACTCCGACTTTTAGTAAAAAATAATTTTATATAAAATAGAAATTATATTATTACATATAAATATAAAATATTAAAAAACTAGCGATACCCCGTGATTGAAGTTACGAAATATTAAACTATGACACTATGTGTGTATTAGAATGTGTGTGTACAGCTTGAGTGTATATATAATGTGCGTGTGTGTGTATGTGTAGTGAGTGTATACTGGAGTATGTGTAATTATGTGCTGTGGAATATTTGTGTTGGGTTTGTGAAATTTAGGAGGGAAAGTGTGAAATTTGGGGGGAAAAATATACCCCCCATAAGTTCAAACACCTAGCTATCTTATTATATAGATTTAAAAAAACCAATTTGATTTTGACCCCTATTAAATTATAAATTATATTATTACATATAAATATTAAATATTAAAATATAAATATTAAATTTCCAATGTCATCATCTCTTCGGTCTTCTCTGCGTCTCCACAGTCCACAGACCACAGCCAGCTCCACTCCACCCAAATCCCTAAATCACGAACTCGCCTCCACTGCTCCATGGCTCCGCAGCCCCTCTCTCTCTCTGTCTCTCTATGCACAACTCCACAGTCACACCCAAATAGCGAAAGCCTGGTAGCGACTTCGATCTGCTTCAATGACTGAGGTAAAGTTCTTCGATTTCTATATTTTTTTTACAAGCCTACTAAAATTTACCTAAATGATCAAATAGGACGACTAAAACGAAGATAAATGGACCTAACTACAATCCAAGCCCAAAAACTATTTAAATTACCCCACCACTCCTGGCTCTAAATACCTAACGAAGAAGAATAACTGAAGCAGATTTTATGCTTAGAATGCCCACTTAAAACCTACACCAGAAGGCTTCAAACTGCAAAGGCAATGTCCAGTAGACAAAGCAATAATTTAAGATTTTTACTGCCATCAGGAAAAAGACTATGTCAAACGGTCAAAGCTAAACAAAATTCCATATCAGTCGTACTCAATTTATCTCGTATGGTTCTCTCAAATCTCCAAGCAACTCTTCTCAAAGAACCACACCACGCACCACCTGCTTAAATGGGAGAGTTGAGAGAGAATTTGAGGCAAGAAAAGGAATTTGAGAAAACAAGGTTACTAGATTCTTCGGAGATTTCTAAAAGCACTTTGAAGATGGTACTCTTTATGCTCAATAGAGATGTAATAAATATTTAAACCAAAAAACATCAGAACAGTCAAATTGAGAGCTCTCTATCTATCTATTTCTCTCCTACTCTTTCTCCCTCAATAATTACCTTGACTTTGGGATCTTTTCTTCCAATTATTTGCTTCTGTTAAATCAACCATTACACAATGTGATATAGGGTTTTAATCGTACACATCTGACGAAGCATACTAAAAAATTTGGGGCCTACCTTTATTCCCCTCAAATGAACACCAATGGCAAAACTCTATATTCATATGTGACAAAATATTTACAAGCCAACACTAGGAATTAAAGATAATAAAAATGGGAATAACAAATAGAAAAAGAAATAAGGTTGTTTCTTAAGGCTAGAATGCTTAAAAAATACGCTCTTAACAACTGTAGTAAGTTGAAAAGAGCAATAAGTACAATCCATATAACAATCAACCTGATATTTATTAATAGCTATGACACCTTTTTTTTCAGGTAATAAAATAACCTATTCTTGTTACTTACTGATTGAAGTACCCCAAGAAACCTCCAATTGTTTCTCGTGTGGGGAGAAAATTCACTATTGAGCTCCATTTCAACATCAGACAAAAGAAGTTTCAGAAGTGCAACGTGCACTTTTCCAAGTAATAAGGAGTCCTAAAGCCATAAGCAACAAAAAATATAAGCAAGAAATCAAAACCGAGATAACTTTGGATGAAAGGACAACAAGGAGCTATTAAAGTGACCAAACCAAGTAGAATCCCAACAAGAAGCATTAGGAACCAGAACTCAACCTTGTCATGAAATGCTTGAGCAAACTCGTCAAGGGTAAACGAACATATACCGATCTTTGCAGCATAAGTACAAAGGAAATGGAAGACCTGTCCATTCAAATCAGTCCAGACTCAGCAAGGTAATATAACAGCGAAAAAAAATTATTGAGGGCATAACACACTTTTGTAATTGAATCCCACGCAAAAGCCATCTAACAATACAGAATAACTATTAAACACTATGACTCTACTCACTGCCCAGAACAATCTAAATAATCCACAAGATCCAATCACTCCAATGAATTACAAAGTAGAAACAAACAAGTTAGTAGTCAAAAATGATGAGGAAAAATAGCACGCTGATTTTGATGATGTGTTCTGTAAGTATTCCACATTTACTGTTGATCGTGAGCTACAGAGATGTTAAGTTATAGGTTAGCAGCATGTCAGTGTCCAGTTCTCTTTTGCTATCTTATAATAGTCATAGCACTTCAACTCTTAGAGAACGGGAACGTTCTCCCTTTATTCTCTTGAGGGACAAGAGAACATTTCGGATACCTCATATAGTTTATTCCTCTTCAATGATCTGGTATTTCAGCAACAATCTCTGTTCGGGGGTAAGTACCAGCTCCTAACAAAATTACCTTTTGGCCATGAAAACAGTAAAATCACCTTTTTGTTTCCAGAAAAATTTTCAGCTTTTTAAGATTCCATTTATGGCATTATACAATACTATAGCATCGTTCACAAAGAGAAAGCGAGGGTGTTGGGCACGAACTTGAAGATACGTATCATTCAGGTAATGCATCGAGATTTGAGACATATTGTAGGATACGTATCGCATATCGTAAATACTGACAACTATGAGTCCGTCTGATGATCATTTTGACAGAAAAGGCTCAATACATGGGGAAATTGCCAGCCAAATTAATGACTTGAACAAACAGTATGACAAGCTTTCTTCCTATACAAGGAGTTCACAGTATGAGTGATTTCTAAACAAAGAATCCAAAGGTCTGTTAGAGAAAATGACATTTGGTCATCATAATCCATAAACTTGTTTATAAGGGGTTTATGTATCTTCCCAAAGTACTCTACTGGACCCAAAGAGAATGACCTGCCCTCCATACCTTGAAAATTTTCTTGACAAGCTCAGGAGAGGAAATCCATGGTTGCATACACAATGGTGGCTTCATCGTGACAGAATCTGGAGGAAACGTTGCCAGCAAATCTAGAAAATAACAACAAATTCTTAGTAGTATAACCTTTAGCAAATGTATATGCATAATACATGACTTCCATCAACATATTTAGAATTTAACAGAATTATTCTGAACTTCACAGAATTTATCTTCTCAACCAAAGGAGATGAGGGAAAGAAGCACATAAAATCCAAGCTAACCTTTGCAGAGGGAACAACCATGCAATCCATTGGTACCAAAATGAGCCGAGCACATTAATGGATTCGTTCCTGCTTGTAATTCTCTCAGCTCGAGTTCCTCATCATCGACTAGTAATGCAAATTGATCAAGCTCTTCTTCGCATCTCAGTCCTTCAAGAGCAAGTTCACATTTTTCTCTGCGTAGTGGCTTTGCCTTCTCTATTTTTTGACATTCCTTCTTCAAATATAATGGCAAAAGTCTTAAGGTACTCCACCTATTAACTTAAATTTCTATATAATGAAACAGAACATATTTACCTTTCTACTCTTTATGAAAGGCTTTCTCTTATCTTGTGACTCGTTTACTAATCTTCTCTGCATTTATAAGAGCAAAATGTGGTTAGTGATCTTTCTAAAAGCAGTCATTAAAGATGAATTACTCGCAATGAATAAAGGTTTGGTGCAAACATATTGCTCAAATAGCTGCCACGGCAACAAGAAAACATAGCAACAAAAACACAATACTTTTGAAATGTAAATCAGATGACTAACAGCCACAGGTTGTCGTCGCTGCACTCTTTTCTTTTTCTCCTGAACAATTGGTTTTGTTGATATAGCAGTACCCATTTGGAAAAGCGCCCTGTCACTAAACTCAACACGAGTAGGAAATTCCCCAGCTTCAGGGTTTGTTGCCTGCCAAATTGTCATCAAACCTTTCCCTACACCATGTTTCTTCGCTGGAACACCCATCAAGCCCTTCCCGATACCATGCTTCTTCACTGGACCCCTGATCAAACCCTTCCCAATACTATGCTTCTTAACTGAAGCATTCATCAAGCCTTTCCCGATACCATGTTTCTTCTTGGGAAAACTCTTCTCAATGCAAACTTGGTAGTCCAAGCTGGTAGGCTCACAAACCTAAAAGAAACATGCAGAAATGTGCAACAAAAACAAAAATAATATGTACAAGAGAAATTTGATGAAAAAAAATACTTGATCCCAACTGAACTGTATTTTTTCTACCTTTCTCCTTTTGAAAGGTCTTTGTTTTCCTTGGCAAGAACGATGAGATTTTTTGGAACCTGTCCATGATGTGCCACAAAACATAATTAAGAGAACAATCTTTTTTTTGTCTTAAGAGAATAATATAAAGACAAAAAAAAAAAATATATATATATATATATACAGCTGTGTGTGTGTGTGAGTATGTGTGTGGATGGATGGACCGATAGATAGATAGAAAGATGAGGCATGTTTATTAAGTGTGTGGTAACATTTTATTTAGATTTAAAGATGAAATGACAAAGAAAAAGGGAATGGAAACAGGACTAAAAATACAACAAAGAATTTCAATTATCAGAGAATTGGAGAAGATAATTTGCTCCCAAAAACAGAAGAAGCTTTCAACCGTCATTCTATCATTGTTACATGTTCACAAACACTAATTTTATGGATGCTACCAAAGCCACAGCTCCAGGTATAGACTTTCAATAATTCCCTATCTTTTCCGAGTGGCCTACATAATTCTTAAAAGAAGAACAAAAAGCAATTTGTGTGAATTGCCACCAAATTAGATAGAGAAATCAGAAATTGGGAAGTTTAAGACGAGCTGGAATATCCAGTATTACGTTGATTTTTGGAAATTCAATGTGTTAGAAATATAAATACTTAACTTACACCCCCCAATGATAGCTTAAGTTTTTGATGAGTGCTGAAATATAAATGCTTGAATTGAATCACACCCAACCAAATAACTTTAAGTTTTTGGAGTTGATGGTTGTTTAACAAAATGGTCAATTTACTATTTAATTCTTCTATTCATTTTAAGGGTAACTTTATTTAAAGATATCTAAAGTATTTAAACTGAATTCCAAAATAGACAAAAAGAGAGAAAAAAAATAGATAACAAAAACAATTATGTGTACAAAAAAGTTACACTACCCAGTAAGCAGAAAAGAAGTCACGTTGATCATACTTATTATGCATGTAATCTAGTGGCTATGGAAATGGGACTGGACAAGCACTAGTCCAAAGATTGAACTGATTCTTTTTCATTTCAGTATATATGCTGCGATTGGAATCATGAAATCCATCATTGGAATTCGATTGGACTTGCAGACCATATTAGTTCAAATAATTAACTAAAACGCCGCGTTTACAGCATGGAATTGTGACCCAGAAATAGACTGAAATTCCGAAAGCCAAATTTGATTACCATTTCAATTGGAACTATAAACCGTATAAGTCAAAGTACAATACCTTTTCGATAAAACTTGAAAGCCTGAGAAGGAAGAGAATCAAACTCGACGCCTACCGGCGGGCCATCCTTTCGGAACACCTTCTTCAGAATGTCGTCTGGACTTAGCCACACTTGCTGAAGTCGAATCCGATCAACATTATCAACGCATATCAACTGTTGCTTCTTTCTCTTCTTAACCTTCCCTTTCGCAGAAGAGTTGAAGGCGTGAGACTTCTTCTTGAATTCTGTTGCACACTGCCACCACCTCGCTTAGCCACCATTTTAATTTACCATGCTCTGCTCACTAAAACAGCTTCATTGTCGATTTTGAAATGAACAGACGCACAGATATAACAATTCACTCTGTGAGTTGAAGATAGAGAGAGAGGTAGAGGTTTTATCAAGTAGAGTTTTGGGTTTTGTCTTCTGTAGATATTTTATGTTGCTCTTTTTTTCTTTTTTTTTAATTTCGGCTCTTGAGTTTTTTTTTTTTTTTTTTTTGGGAGAATTGTACTTAGTTCTCTTGAAATTTATTATTTAATCACTCAAATCTCTGAACATTTGAAATATATACTTAGACTTAGACTCCTGTCGATTAATATTCATTAGTAAATTATATTCAGACTCTCTTAAATTTATAGACATGTAATACTTAGATCCTTAAGTTTAAAATATTATATTTATATCAAAAATATTCTAATCAAAAATAGAATATCAAATATTTTAGATTTTATAATAAAAATTCATATTCTATTATGACATTTATTAAAATAAAATTAAAAATATAAATATAATTTTTAAAAATATATATAATTAGTATACAATTTTACTATCTATTAGAATTTAATTTAGTTGTTTAAATGACCAATTAAACTACCAAATTACCCCAATTAAAATTAGAATATACTGTGTTCATTACAGTTTGACTCTTTATTTGATTTTTTAGTTTTATTCCGATAGATAGTATATTTGTATAATAATTACGATTTTTTAAGAAAAAAATAATTTTTTATTTTTTATTTTATTTCAGTAACTGATATAATAGAACATGAATTTTGACTGTAAAATTTAAATTCTATAGTTGATTGGAGTATTTTTATCTTAAATATAATATTTTAAACTTAGGGTATAAGTATTATATGCCTATAAATTTAAGTGAATCTGGATATAATTTATTAATGAATATAAAATAGACATTGACACCAGGCTTAAGTGTTACGCGCATATAAATTTGAAGGATATGTGTATAATATTTCAAATATTCAGAAATTTGAGTGATTAAGTGACAAACCTCAGAAGATATGGATGTAATTATCTCTTTTTTATTTTTAGGCAAAACTGAAACCCAGGAGCATTTGGACATAGAAATAATAAATGACCCATTTTTAGAGAAAAATGTAGTGGTGTTTTATTTTTTTTCCTTTCCCCCCTTTTAAGTCAATAATCTCGAAATGATTTAAAATTTGTTTTATTATTTCTATTTTCTATTTTTTTGTAAAATATATTCAAAAAAATGCATTTCGAAGTACTACGAAATTATACTAAAAAAAATGAAGAACTAATAAAATATGTTATATGCTATCAAATATATAAATTTTTTGAATGAGATTTTTCATGATGTTTTTGTACGAACTGCAAGGTAAGGTCAAGATTTTGTTATATTATCAATAGGCATTTGGTCTAATTGTATTTTTTACCTTGTAAATACTTTGTCTTTTTGAGAAAAGAGTTTAAACGTCCTTCTCTCTTCCCCCCTCTCACCACTCCCAAAAAAAAAAATTGTTATTGTAACGCCTCAAAACACATCATAAACGGCATTACATTCTAAAATCATTCATATCATGAGAGCACTAACATAATCCCTTAAGAAACAAGACTTCATTTGTCATCCACGAACATTTACAACATTATCCAAAAGAATAAGCTCAAGTCATGGCTATTACATCTCAAAAATTAATTAAAGAAGCGCAGCGGAATAAACAAAAGAAGCTAGACTACACAATGTTCCAAAAGAATGTCTTCATCTAGTACACAAGGAAAGGAGGTCACTCTATGCGTCCACCTCGGGATCCACACTCCCGTCCAGTGGAGTCTCCCAAGTAGCAGGCTCCTCGACCCTTACATCCTCCTCCTCAAGCGGGTAATCTGAAAAATGTTAGCGATAAGGGATGATCACGAAACTTTGTAGAAAAATTCTCTCAAACCCATACAAGGTTTAGAAAAATATTTAAAACGGTCGGTCTCAATTTTAACATAACATAGATATATAATTTGAAATAAAGCAGTAACATTTAAAAAGGATCTCAAGTTTATTTAAAAACATTACTTAAATGAATAAATGAGCACCACATACAAATAATAATCATTAATTGTCATAATCAATTCCCAACAATTCTTTTTGTAGGTGGTATACTTTGTGGTAACCTCCACCCCCCTTTAGGTCACCTTTGATTCTCAAGCATCCTTACCGGGAACTTCTTAAGAATGAATGAACATCCTTACATGGAACCTCTCACTAATCACTATATTGTTTCTCAAGCATCCTTACCGGGAACCTCTTAGGAAGGGGTGAGCATCCTTAAAAGGAACCTCTCACTCATGTGCATCACAAAACAACTCAACCAAATATATAATTCCAACATTTATCTCAATTTACAAACATCTATCCAAAATCCCCAAAATATATCATGTAACAATTCCACAACCAACTAAGAAAATACATGAGATCACAATAACATTATTTTTCTACCCAACACAAAACACTAAGGTTTCAAAATCCATAATAAAGAAAGCATTTAGGAAGAAAATACATCACTCTCCAAAAATTAGGGTTTTAAAACTAAAAAGGAGATTTCATAGGTATTAAACTCTATTTGTTCAAAACATATAATTCTTGCAAAAACCCTAAGAGATGATGATTCCATAGCATATATATATCATTGATAGCCAAAACATACATATATAAATACCTTAGCCTCAATGTAAGTGAATGAGAGAAAACTCCTACCTTGAATCCTTAGTTTGTAGGAAGAACTTGAGATTTGATCTTGAATCTACCCTTAAATCTCTTGTTTTTCCCGTCCTTTCTTCCTCTCTAATGCACTCTAGGGTTCCAAGAGGTGTGGGGTGAGAGTGGAGTGAAAGAAATGAGGGCAAATGGAATAAAAATGGGGTTTAAAACACCTCAGCCCCGAAATTCACTGTTCACATCCTGTTTTGGTTTTCTCTAAAATTATGGTTTTACCACTAAAAATTTCCAATTTGATCCATATGATTACCTTAATATTTTTCGACGTTCTGGATTCATTTTTAATGTTATTTTAACTTAAAAACATTTATTTTTATGATTTATCTCAAAATCAAAGTCAACTTACACCCGAAACACTAAAGTTTCTATTTTACCCATCCTAACTGGCCATTAATGAAGTTTTGCGTTGTTTGCAAATAAAAGGTGATAAAGGGTGCTTCTTAAAGCATTTTATACTTATTTGAAGCCTAAATGTACTCATTATTCTTATATTTTGATTTAGGATACAAATGGAGACGTTAAATGCAAAATGAAGCTAATTGGACTGTTTTGACATTGCTTCGTTATCTAGGCATAACTCTCTCATCCGAGCTCCGATTTAGATGATTCAAGATGATATGGAATGATAAGAAAGAGCTCTAAAACTTTTATGTTTTGAGTTTTGAGATATATTGACTTCATCAAGGTCTAAATCGGGCTTGAAGTTGCAGCCAGTGTACTATTCAAGTTAATTGGGCTGTTTTGATATCACTTCGTTATCTAGGCATAACTCTCTCATCCGAGCTCCGATTGAGATGATTTAAGATGCTATGGAATGCTAAGAAAGAGATCTACAACTTTTATGTTTTGAGAGAGATTGACTGCATCAAAGTCGAAATCGCGCTTGAAGTTGCAGCAAGTGCACTGTTCACGTCCTGTTTCATTCCTTTTCCATTTCCAATCCATTCCTAAGCCAACCAAATCCATCTCAAACCTCTCCAACACATATTTCTAAACCAAACCTATTTAATACAAGTTCTAGGACCTAAAATTTCATATTTTCACTTATTAAAACCAAATTTCACCTATTATTTCCACTAACATTTTAAATCTCTACTTTTTCAATCTATCAAATTCAAACACACATCACTACACATATCCACATTTTACAACAGTTATTTACTATATATCTATATACATATATAAAAGAAAATGCGGGGTGTTACAGTTATATTTGTCATTTGTCAATGAAAAATATCCAATTTTTACAAAACAATGTGGTGGTATTTCATTTTTTCCACTTTTTCTCCATACTTTCAAAATGATTTCAATATATGTCATTCTTAATTTTTTATTTTTATCATGAAACGTATTCAAAAAAAGTCATATACAGTGGAATGTATAACTTTTTTTAATGAGATTTAATATGAATTTTTGTGTGATTTTTTTCTGCTATCAAAACGAATTGTAAAGTACAGTCAAGATTTTGTTATATTAGTCATTGATCAACAAATGTTCTAAGGAAAATAAAGAATGGCCAATTTTTGAAAAATAATATTGATCTATAAACTACTTTCTTAATCTATACACCTAAAAACAAATAACTGTTGGGGGGTGGTGAGCAAACCACACGTTTAGTAAGTATATTTGAAACATATTAAAAAAATACTTATAATCATATATCGCATTCATATTTAAAACAAAATTCACATTAAGTATCTAACATGATAGAGTTGAGTGGTAAGATCTCAGAGATTAAAAAAATCAATTAAATAAAATTTTAAGTAATTTAATTAACTGACGAATATCTGTAATATTAAACGTGAGAAGATTATGAAGCATATAATAATGAGAAACTCCAAATATAATGTTGAGATAAGGCTCAAGAAATCAATAATAAGTTTTTAGTAAATAACTTATTATTAATGGACCATATGATGCTTGTTCTAGGTTGGACATAGGATTCCTAGACCCATTGGAAATCCGGCTCTTATTTCTCCTTAAGATATCTATTGTAGCCTATAAATAAATTCACACCTTGGTTCTCAATCATAACCTTTACCTTCAAGGTTTAGAAAAGGCAAAGAGAAAGCAAGCGAGAGAATTCGGAGGATTGCAAACCATACTGCATTCGAATTTTTGGCCTTCCATGGTAAAAAATTGTGAGGTTCATCAAGCCTGCTATTCGATTTGTATCTATCTTTGTTCATGTTGTTCAAGCTTCAAGGGGTAAACTCTAATTCCGTTTTGTAGAGTTAATAAGCAAATAAATTTTTATAATCAATTA